ATAGTATCAAGCTATTTCTAAAGCTGAAGAAGTAAGCAGCACGTTCTGTTTCTTTGTGAAGCTCATCAAGGAGGAGTCCAGTGGATGGACCAGAGGAGGGCAGTGGTATGCGGTGAAATTTTCCATAAAGGAACAGTTAGGGCCAGAGGTGCCAGCTTGTGAGGGCAATGTCATGCATGTGACATTGTGACATGCTGACATCACGCACGTGAGCATAGCGCCTCCCTCCCTAAGCCAGTCAGAAGCTTTCTGGGCTTTGCGAAGGAGGTGCCAGAGCTCTGGCAGGATGGTGGAGCTTTCTGCCTCCTTCCAAAATCTGGATGGGAAGATAGCAGAATGGATCTTGGACCCAACGGAGCCCCGCACCTCCCTCCTTAAGCCAGGCAGAAGCTTCCCCAGCATGGGGAAGGAGGCACCAGGGAAACATTTAGGGGACCAGCCTAGTCCCCTTAGTCCAGTGACTGCATGCCACTGGAGGAGGGAATAATAAACTCCAGAAGTTGAGAGTACTCTGAGCAGGGTCTTGGAAGAACATCTGAATAGAGGCATGCAGGCAGCCTCATAGAAACACATAGCTCATCAAAGTAGACAGCCTATGAAATGAAACAAGAAAGCATCTGTTGAATGCTTCTGCTACAGATGACAAACTGCATGCGTCCTAGCAATCACAGGCAGCTTTTGCAGGAGCTGAGTGTCTCATTTATTTCAATGGAGGCATGAAATCCATGAGTGAATGTAACCTGAAAAGGGTATCACAATTAGCACTTGGCTTGGTTTTTTAAAAATGTTTTCTTTCCTTACCCTCCCACTCCCCCCCCCCCCAGCAGCTGCACTTCATGCTGCACCAGAGCCTACTTCTGAATTTCCCCCTGAAATTTCACAGGTAACTTTTAAAGGGCAGATAATAGGGTCACAAAGAGTCGGACACGACTAAACAACAATAGGAAAGAAATAATAATGTATACAGCAGTTACTTTTAACTCTGCAGTTGCATTCTGCTGTGTCTCTCTAAAGCACAGACTCAACATCACAAGGTATGAACTTAAAATTTGAATTTTAATATTGCATCCTCAAAAATGACAGCACCAATAAAGTCAGCAGATTGCTCCATGCTCCACTTTCTGTTGTGTTGCCCCCAAACAGAATCTGATATTGTTTTAAAAATACTAGCAAAAAGTGGGAATGTTTGTTAAAGTAGCTGTATTGTTGTTTACCTTGTGTGTTCACATTTATTTTTTACCTTTTTTATGCTGGTTAAAAATCACAGTCTGCTCTGAGCTTGAGGAATATTGGGTTGCTTGACATGCAGATAGGTTTGAGATGAATGTCCCTCATGATTGGTGTAGTGGCAGCTGATGTGGCAAAGAGACCACTGTTTGCCTTGGAAGAAGCCCCTAGGCAGTTCTCTTCCAGGTAAATGGCTGCAGGTTCCCCAAATAGTTTCTGTTGATATAGGCAGGAGAAGCACCATCAGAAATTTGAGATTAAGCTGAAGGAAGCAAACTAGTTTGGAAAGAGACAGTGAAAAGACAGACATAACTGACATACGTGCAGGAAGCATTATAGATTTTGCCAAAATTATGGAAATGGCGATGGATGCTATTGAAGAGGAAGACTTCCCCTCTTACATCAGGGCACCAGTTGCCATTGGAGACTTTGCTAGGACCAACTTACACCTCTACCCAGCAATCTACAGCAGGTGGTCACTGCCAGCCATTCAAAAATTGAGTCTATGATAATTTGCTATGGTGCTCTCCAGCCTTATACAGCTACTATACCCCATTTTGTCAGTAGTTAGAACATGTTTGATCATGGAATTGCCCTTTGCATGTCCGACAGTAATTTCCACTGGTTGCGATCCAGTTGAGCCTCTTTAAATCCCACTGATTTCTGTAAGGGAGAGGGAAAGGCATACTATTTACCATAGGAATTAAAGGGGCTTTAAAAAAATGTTTAGCTTTGACTGGGTTGTGCCCATCTTATAATAGCTTCACTGCATTGACACTCCTGTGAGAAGTAAACAGAGGGCTCGTGGATAGGATGTAGAATTGTTTGTATATAAAAGGACATGGAAAGGTGGGTTCACTTAATTGACTGTGTACAGAATTCATATAAAATTATGGGATGTGAATATCTTTCAGCATCAGCCTCCTTACGCTTGCCCTTCTTTGGGTAGAAATGATACAAATTAATCTCTGCTGCTAAGCCTCCTTTTGTTTTGCTGCATTGACCTGAATGCTGATATACTGTAGAGGTGTATGATTGGCCAAATATCTGATGCAGCTCAAGAACACAAAGTAAAGGGTCTTGCTGCTCGCCACTTGAAATACCTACTCTGTTCAGCAGTACAAAAAGGTTTTCTTTGATTTATGTTTTTCGTGCTTTTATTTCAATAGCTGCTGGAATCTCAGGGAACCATGTGGTCGAATTATGCAGAGCTGTGCGAAAGAGTTTAGGAGTTGAGACTTGAGTGGTTTAGGTATAACTGGCATATTATGGGCCTCTTTAATGAAAATTAGTTCTGATTTGACTTGTTTTAAGGTTGTAAGCCATGCAAATAAAATGTAAGCAATTTAAGCTTATATATTTGTATGCCTATATATAAAATTGCAAATTTTGCATTGGATGCAACCTAACCAAATGCTTAAATATTAGTATGTTGAACAAAATTGCTGACTTCTAATTGGGTTAAGAAATGATCTTTGCCTTGAATTCTTCCGAAGAGGGAAAGCAGTGTAAATGTGCGTATTTAAAACTGGGTATGACAATAAATTGGTTAGGAGGAAATATTTAGAAAAGACCTTTGCCCATCAATTATTGCTGCTGTTATTCCACACACCCACACCCACCCTCCCTACAGAAACCCCTCCTGTCACTGCGAAGGTTGTTAGCTATAATAAACTGCCCTGCTAATCAAACAGTACTGAAAGGTGAGGTCATTGCAAATCTTCAGTCATTTTGCGCCTTTTCAAGAGTGAATTTTGTTAAAATTATGCTGAATACACACTTAAAGCCTCCACTTGGAGGAAGGGGGTGGGGGAAACCCTACCTGTGTTTTATAACTCTGCACTGTCAGAACTCATAATAAGTCAAATATTCTTTCTGAGGTACTCATAAAGGGGGGGGGACCTGTAAATTTAAGAGTAATTTCAGATTGTAAATGAAAAAGAGAGGCACGACTGTTCATTTGCACCAATCATGCCTTCCTTTCATCTGCTCTGATTAGGCCTGGTGCGGTTTCATCAAACTACTCCATCACTGAGCTGTCACTCCAGCCGTCTGTTGATTGAAAACAATCAGGGCTCTGATGGCACAATTATTCTGACCCTTTAACTAGAGGCTGCTGTGATAATGAAAGGTTGATTATGATAGTTTGTGCCTCTTTCAGTTTGCCAAGAAGGTTAATTTGGGCATCAGACGGATGTTTAATGGGCGCTTGCTGGCTACACTGAGGTAAATGAGAACGTGCAGCCTTAGATATTGCACGGATATAGTTTGGCTGTCAATCATTGTCATTTTGAGTTTGTGCCTTGCACTCAGGAAATCGCATTTTATTTTTTTTCCTTGAGATTTAATTTATTCTGTGCCCTGAGGAAGTTCTTTCACTCTATGACCTTCGCTTTAGCTTTCTCTGCCTTTTTTTTTGCTTCCCTTCTTCCCCTCAGATTGTGCTCAAAGGCACAACAGATTGAGCAGAACACTCCTTTTAATTTTCTCTTTAGCTTAGCATAGTTGTTTATCACCTGTGTCTAACGTATTTTTACTTACACACACACACACACACACACACACACACACACACTCTTTGGAATAAGAATGTAGAAAACTAATCTGCACCATATTTTAAATAACTGCATGTCTCATAGGATGTTGTTAAGGCTGTGTGAGGTGGTGTGTAAATGTGTGTGTGTGTGTATTTTTCTATAGCAGGCCGAGGCAGTGTGTAAATGCTAGCTGAGAGAAGAGGCAGGACAACATGGTAGCTGCCACAGTTTGCACCCATGGTTTGTTGCGTTGCTGTCTGCCATTGCTTATGATACAATGCAATGTAGTTTTAGTATGTTGATCTTGGAAGATCCTGCCCTTGTATGTGAAATAGTATGCAGGTGACCTTCAGCCTGATCAGCAGGTGTGCTTTTTATAATAATTGCAGCTCCACTCCATCAAATCTAATCTGGACACAACTAGTTCCCACTGAAATCAATGGAACTAAAGTCATGATGGGGTTGTTCCATTGTCTTCAATGGGAACTCAGGGCTATGGACTTTTTCTGCATCCAATGCAGCTACCAGATAATCATAGGGTTTGTTTCATGGTTGTACAATAACTGCATTCATAATGTTGCATGAAAATGTTGCAGGTAGACACACTAATTTGCTTCTATTTACTACCTATTTCCCCCCCATTTTTAGCTCATCCAAAGAAACTCTGTTTAGGTCATGGCAAATTATAATGATTCCAAGCTCCTTGGCTTCTCCAGTGCTTTGTGCTTCTTGCAGTATATTCTATTTTACACATATCTAGTAGTAGGAAAGTAAAGTGTAGTTGATTATGCACGCATGCACAAGGCTTTTACAAGCAGGCAAGGACACAACTGAGAACAGGGCACACCTGAACTTCAGAACATGGCCATAGTCTCCTTTTTTCTGTATTCTAACAGATTGATTTCCAATATGATATATGCTTTTTAGTCATTGTGGAATGTTGCACCATTTGCTGTGTATTGTCATGCAGGGTAACTCTCCCTTGTGGGTTCAGAAAAACATCAGTGAGCTAAAAGCCAACACAGCTCTGTTATCATACATAAACTCTACTGATAGTCGTAATTATTTTAGGAAAGATGAAGGGATGTTTTTATGTATGCATCTGATGAAATTTGGGAGTATAATTTGTTGTTGATAAGGCAATGCAAATGTACTTTTAGGAATGCAAGCAGTCTCACACTGAATTGTGGCTAATGCAGATAACTTCATGTCCCCCCCCCCCACTTTCCCTTCTAGCTAGCTGTGAGGTGGCTAGAACACAATTGCCGTTACCAATACATGGATGAACTTCTCCAGCATGTTCGGTTTGGGCTCATGGATGTGGACACCTTGCATACAGTAGCCCTCTCTCACCCTCTTGTCCAAGCTAGTGAAACCGCTACAGCACTGATCAATGAGGCCTTGGTATATCACCAGAGTATCTATGCACAGCCAATATGGCAGACCAGAAGGACAAAACCTCGCTTCCAGTCAGACACTCTTTACATCATTGGCGGGAAGAAACGGGAGATCTGCAAAGTTAAAGAACTTCGATACTTCAATCCTGTAGACCAGGATAACGTTTATATAGCAGGGATTGCAAACTGGAGTGAGCTGGCTCCCATGCCGGTAGGAAGAAGCCACCACTGTGTTGCTGTAATGGGAGATTTCCTTTTCGTAGCAGGTGGCGAAGTTGAGCATGCCACCGGCCGCACTTGTGCAGTACGGACTGCTTGTAGATACAACCCTCGAAACAATTCTTGGGCTGAAATAGGTCCAATGAAGAACTGCCGGGAACATTTTGTGTTGGGAGCTGTGGACGAATACCTCTACGCAGTCGGAGGTAGAAATGAGCTGCGTCAAGTGTTGCCTACGGTGGAGCGCTACTGCCCTAAGAAGAACAAGTGGACTTTTGTTCAGTCCTTTGACAGATCCCTTTCCTGTCATGCGGGATATGTTGTGGATGGTCTCCTTTGGATATCAGGTAGAAAATGTTTCATTTCAGCCATTTGCGCGATGACAAAACACTGTCGGTGGAGAGTTGGTTTTAGGAAACTTGTCTTGGAGAAGATGGGTCTAGCTTTCATTCACCAAAGGCCAAAGTTTAAGAAACCAAGTTAGGATGCAAAAAGGGGTGGGAGAGTTAGTATAGTGATTAAGAACCACAAGTAGTAAATATGAAGGAAACTACAGCTAAAATAAGGGGGATATAATCAAGGTGCAGTGTTTGGTTTTGAAAAAGAACAGTTAAAATTGAAATTAAAAAAGCTTTACACTGGGACTTTTGGGTAGGGAGAAAATGTTTGTATACTTTACACCCTTGATGTAAATATAATTACTATGCACACATTTTTTAATACAGCTCAGCAGAAGAATGATGGCACTGAGGAAAGCCATGGTTTAGAATAAATTGAAGTATAAGAAAGTAGATAACAACAAAAGTGAACTAAACACATAGTTGTATTGGGGAAGAAAGATAGTGAACTTAGGAATGGGAGTATTGTTTTCCAAAAGTGAGAATGTTTTATACATATTTCTAAGTATTGTACAGAAAAGGAATATTGAAATAACACTCATATCCATAAAGTTGGTCGGTTTTAAATTTAGAGTTGGGGCGATACTTTTGGTGTGTCTTCCTCTTGGGGGATTTTTCAGTCCCCCCCCCCCCTAGTTTCTAAAGATGCTGCTAGGGAAATGGAGTCTAAGGCTTTTTATGGATGTTCTCCCCTCCCTTTGTATTGCAGAGTAATAACAGGGATATGTTAGAAATGCATTCTGTAGTTATGTTCTGCACCTGTTGACTGGTAATCTTGAGGTTTTATAGAATGCTAAATTTTGCAGTTTCTGAAAAGTGTTTGATCTGGCTTGCTCACAAAGAGATGCATACTTTTCATGCTTTCAGTTTTCAAGCAAAATAGCCTTGAAAAGCACCAGAACCATTATGGTTTCGTGTTTAATGATCTTTTTCTGAATGAAGAAATATATTGGTTAGGGCTAGACCATTTTTTCTTCTTTCAGGGTTTAGAATGATGTTATAGTTCATATTGCAGCACCTGAAAGGAAGAAGAAAATGCTCTAAGTCTAACCGGTATATTTTGCAGGACATTCGATTTCTCCTCCTCTCACTGCTGTCTTTACACTTTGGCAAACTTTATAAAGGCCGCAAGCTCCAATTCTTTGCCTCTCTCCTAATCTGTAAACAAGCTAAGATTCCGCATGAGGTTGGGTGGGCAGGAAGGGGTGTGTGCGTATGTGTCAGAGTGTGAGAGAAAATTCTTTGTAGATGAAGTTGATGGGACTAAATTGGCTTAAATCCAAGTATGTCAAGCTAGCTCATTCTAGGATAATTAAATTGAAGAATTTCCCAAGTCTCCTGAAGCTTCTGCAGCATCAGTAGTCACCCTGAACTGCTGATATGCAAACAGCACAAGCTCTTTGTTGTTTAACCAGCACTGTGTTATCCGAAACAAATTTTGGTGTATAATTATATGGGAATTTATAGTCAGTGTAGCTGAAAGACGTATGTCAGTGCCATATACAGTCGTACCTCGGGTTACAGACGCTTCAGGTATCAGACGCTTCAGGTTACAGATTCTTCAGGTTACAGACTCCGCTAACCGAGAAATAATACCTCGGGTTAAGAACTTTGCTTCAGGATGAGAACAGATCATGTGGCAGCACGGCAGCAGCAGGAGGCCCCATTAGCTAAAGTGGGACCTCAGGTTAAGAACAGTTTCAAGTTAAGAATGGACCTCCAGAACGAATTAAGTTCTTAACCCGAGGTACCACTGTATACACCTGGCTGTAGCAGGATCTACTTAACCCCAAAAGAACCCCCAATACATTATTCTCTCTCAAAATTCTGGGTTCAAGGTCTTTCTAATCAAAATGTCATGTTTTCTTTAGTCTTTGTTACGTTTAAACAAAACGCCGAAGGTTTACATTTCATAATAATGGCTTACAGTATGAGATACACGAGATGACAGGGGAAAGCATTGCTAAAAGTGCAGCTATTCCAAGGGTCTGTCTGGTCCTGCAGCCCATTTCACAAGTGGTTAGACAAATGCTCCAAGAGAGCATGCCGTGAGAGGGGCCCCTCCTGTCGACCAGCATGCGGGGAAATACTTGACATTCCTTTTCACTACCTTGCTAATGGACATGGCGAGAATGCTAATTCTGTTCCTCATATTAGGTCAAGGTTTCCATGTTTTAATAGACATTTGCCAATTGGGAGCATGAGAGCACCCCCCCCCTTGCGTTATGCATTAATACAACAGGCACAATATATGATCCCCGTCAGCTTCCTCCTCTGTGTTGCACGTAGGGAATTCAGTAGGAAGGATGGGGACAAAGCTGGAATCAGTGGCTTCCACCTGCCATTGGCTTTGGCTCCACCTCCTGTCCCCCCCCCCCCGTCCCAATGGGTACCAGCCACCACTGCTCAGTGGGTACCACACCACTCCTGCCTTTCTCCCCCCCTGTCCCAATGGGTACCAGCCACCACTGCTTATATGTTTGAAACCAACAGCGGATATTTGCTTCTTACGCAGAATCCAGACTTCTTCCCTCAAGGAATGTTTTTGCTTTCCCATCCAAGGAGATCACATTTCCCCAGCACTCATACTGCAATGGGGGGAAACGCTTCTTTTGACAACCAAAGCGGGGATCTTGGGGATTTCGAAAGTTGTGGCATCACTGGTGACTAGCAACGCATCTATCCCCTCTTCCTCAGTCCGTCTCCTTTCCCATTTCATGAAATTGCATAGGAAAGGCTTTCATGAATCGTATCTTTCATCTCAAGCTATTTTAAAATCTTTTAGTTGATTATTACATTGATATTCCACTGTTCTTATAAAAAGCTAAATGTGGTGCACTTGCTTCTCCTCTCTCCATTTTGTCCTTAGAACAGTCCTGTGAGGAAGACTGGGCAGAGACAGCAACTAGCCCAAGGTTAGTTGCTGAGGGGAGATTTGAACCCCGGTCTTGCAGTCCTAGTTCAACACTCTAACCCAGGGTTTCCCAAACTTGGATCCCCAACTGTTTTTGGACTACAACTCCCATCATCCCTGACCAATGGTCCTGCTAGCTAGATGGGAGTTGCAGTCCAAAAGCAGCTGGCGTTTGGGAAACCCTGTTCTAACCTGTGCACCACATTCAGAAACGGATTGTCCATTATTACAGTCAATGCATTTCCGACTGCTGGATGCAAACATCAGAGCACGGATATTCCTACAAGCTTCCACAGTGTAATTTTGGCCACAGTTGCAGACAGAATGTGAGCCTACATTGAACCTGGCTCTGACCTAGCAAAGCACTTAATTTACACCCTTATTTTCTCTTGTAAGCCGCCCTCCCTCTTGTCATGCCTTCAGTCCATCAGATATCATGCTATATAGTGCTAGTACAGGGATGGAGAATCTCTGGCCCATGGGCTAATTTTGGTCCAATTTGGGCCACAAGGACTTGTCCCACAAACTACATCCAGCAGGAGGGCAGAGTTCCATTTTGCCTTGCTGTGCAAATAGCTTACAGCAAAACAGGATTAAGCACCCCAACTACCAACTGAAGAACAGGGGCTAAATTCTGATTAGAGACAGGAGGTTTATGGAAATTTTGAAGACATGGGAAGGGGGATATCTGTCCCCCTCCCTTAGTTTTTTCTCAAAGAAAACAAAAATTTTGAAAAAAATGCGGTACTTTTTGGAGCAATTTACATATAGAAAGTTATTTTGTTACTTTAGAGACAAAAATGATTCCCCACTGCTGTGCTAGTCCAAGTATAGCACTACAAATCATACGTTTTTTAGTGCTATGGTGCAGTTTGATGAGCTTTGAAAAAGCAGGTCTGAAAGATTTTCCACATGAAATTAAGCAACTGTTCCTAATACTTCCACAACAAATAAATGAAAAGGCACACACACTGAAATTCGGCTGATGGCCGGTTCAAAAATAGGTAGGGAAATGACCCACCCATACATAGTATGGTTGCCAAGAGGAAGTTATAGTGGTGGTGAAGGTTCAATGGCATTCAGAAACAAAGGAAACAAACAACTGAAGCAGGATACTGTACTACTTGCAGAGGCTAGGAATGAATGGTATACTCCGTAAACAACATATTTCATGGCATCAGAGACAGGATTCTGGTCTGAATAGATCACTAATCCAACACAGCGAAGTTGTTCTAATGCGGTGCATTATTTATCCCAGTAGTTGTATATAAATTCAGCCAGCAATCAGCGAGCCCAAAAAAATTACAATCGCTTACTGATACATTTTTCTCCTCCTGCATTTGAAATCCTATGAGCTATTTACAGGTTGCTTGACTTCTAAAAGACTTTATTATAGACTTTATTTTTAAACGCACCCGGATATCATCTCCACTGATATTATCATTCTCCTTTTGGAAAGCAGCACAGGGAAGTAAAAGCAATTGCCTTTTGATTGTCCCATTTTATGATGGAAAAACATCACTTTTTCTGGTACCATTTAAACTTTTATTTTTCTGCTATTTTTTAAAAAAGACATTTTATACCTATTCCTCCATTGCCTAGAGTATTCTTAAAATGGTCGTTTGTGGGGGGCATTATGGGCTTGTTAAATTTAAATTTTGGTAGGTTGCTTTTTATATCTATATAAAAAAGAACAACAGCCCTGAAACTTTTCCACTGTAGCACTTCAAAGTTAGGATAAACTTGGTTTTTTGAAAATTGATGCTGATAAGAAATGGCATAGTTAATGGCAGATGAATCTATAGAAAGCTGTTAAGATGCATATTCCTCCCCTGGGGAGAAGGTGGCGGTTAAGGGGAGATGGGGGAGAGGAGAGAGAGCAAAACTGCCAATCTATAAAATATACTTGTTGGCAGAGAATCTTCCTGCAAATGCGGTGATTGCAGGGGGGCAGTGGAACAGCATGTGGCAGCCTAACCTAAGAGCAGTCAAATCAGCTTGATGACTTTCAAAGCCAGGAATTCTGCTGGAGGCAAGGGTATTTGATCTGAGGGGGGAAGGGAGGATTAAAACATATAGAGGCTGTGCTATTAATTCCAGGTCTATTTTTCTGTCGTCAAATCTGTATGTAAATCCATAGCATCTCATTTTGGCAAATGAATCTTTTTTAAAAAGGGGGGGGGCAGAAAGAAGGCAAAGGGAACATAATGGCTTTAAGGTGTAGGTATGTGTGTGCATGTGAGAAAAATTAAACATGCGGAAGGGAAACATCCCCGGTACCAAGAAATGCACGTTTTATGCTTCCACGCCAGTGTTAAGACCCAGCCGGACAAACGCCTATGGCGAAAGTATCCTTTGAATTTGCATGATTCTTGTGCTGTGGACAGGCTTATATAGCAGGTATTTTAGTACAGATCATCGGCTGGGTTGAGAGAGGAGCTAGATTTTAGTTACCCATCATTTTGAAATGAAAATACCTTGTACCTTTCTGTCAGCCTGCCCGCCCTTCTGCTTCTCTGTTTCCACACTCTTTCCTGTCTCTCCGGCCCCATAACCCAACCCAGCCCAACCCATCATGCATAAAAAGGCCTCTTCACTCCTGGAATGAACAGCACGGATAGTCTTACTGGGAACAGTGACACAGGCAGAAAGAGTCGTGCCCCCCTTCCCACACCACTTCCTGTGTGCTATGGTCCCACTACTGGTCACCCCTCTACTTGCCTTAAAGAAAGAGAGAAAAGAAATGCGATCACAATTTCTCATCTCATCATTCTGATCTGATTGAGCTTTGAGGTTGCCATGAAGCAGATTTCTAGATTTCCTTGCATTTCTGTAAAAAGTACAAAGCTCCTCCTTTCCCAACTTTTAATTCACACTCCTCGTCCCTCCCTTTCAGCACACTTTCATTTCACTCTTTCATCCTCGTAGCTGTTACTTGAAATTCCAACTTTGCAATTTAAGTGTAGTTTTTCAAGTAATGGGATCCACAGGAAGAGACTATTTACCTCTTTAGGGAAGCGGCAGCTGCAGCCTAGTGCAGCTGCAGGAGCTGATGAGGGCGCGAGGGGTATGCTGCCAAAATCTTAGCTTCAAATGGGCCAATCGTGGCCTTTGTGGGGGGAGAGGGTAGGTCTTCAGCAGCGGACCAGCTGAACGTAGTATTTACTCTGGTCCGCCGCCACTGAATTTAAGCTGGCTGCACTTTGAGCCAGACCACAGTTGGCAATCCATTCCTCCCTGTAAGTTTGCCTCTGCGTATGTAGGCACAACCTTGTTGTGGAGTTCAATCAGTCACCATATTTGGGACCAGGGAGAAATTTGCCTGTAGACAAATTGGGCCCCTTTGGGGTTTTTGACTTCCTCATGGCAACTGCCACAACTTTGGTGGAGGGGGGGGGAAGGCATTGGGTTGGATCCTCAGTCTAACTTGAAGGATAAGAGGAACCCTCCCTTTGGCTATGTCAAAATCTCAGGATACCCTGGTAAAGGGGTCTGGGTTGAAGATTCTGGCCAAAGGTCCAGACGGAAGCAGATGGGCCATTAGGACTTCCATCTGGTGGCCTTGGAGGGGTCACCCTTAACCTAGGACCGACCCTCGTGAATAATAATCTAGTAGTTGGGCTGAATGATTCAGGATACATACCCAGTGGCTATGCCAAAGCCTTCTGTCATCTGTAGTAGCCAGTTAAATTCCAAGATCTTGTCATGTTCTTTTGTTGTTCCTAAGTTACTACCTCTTCCTAGCTCTCGAGACACAATGCGCATGGGCCTGCAAATGGTGACACGGAAGTGTACCAAATAGGCTACACCTGATTTGTCTCAGTACATGTTTGTGACAGACAGTGGGGATGGAGAAAAAGCTGTGCCCTTCCTAAAATTAATTTACATGGAGACAATGAGAAATTACCTTATACCAGCAGACATTGTGCAATTTCTCCCTCTAATGTTCACTAGCATTCTGCAACATCACAGAAGTTCAGTCAGCAGGATAGGTGGCTACAGATGACATTGTTTTTAGCATATATTATGATTAGATGTATTTTTATCCTGACACTTCTCCAAGGTTATGGTACTGTACAGGGTCGCCCCACCCTAATATAATATACCTTGAATTTAATCTTAGGACAGCCCTATTCTTCCAGATGTCTTGCATATATTTGTGTCATCATGCAACATATTACTGCTGTCCTTACTTTAACTGTGTTTGTTCAGAGGACCTCTCTTAGCAGAAGAAACAGAATGGTGACCTTCAGGTACCCTTCAGTATTCAAAGGGTGTGACTTATTTTGCCTAGTTGTGGTTTGTGGCACATGAACCAACATGGGCATATTGTTAACTTGCCACTGGAGAAATAAGGATGTTGGAAAGTGAAACTTGACAAATTCCTTTTTGCATGTAGCATGGAAAAAATTGCAGTATGCTTCCTAATGGTAGATAATTTGCTTTAATGCACTCCCAACTGTGTTTAATGTTCGTGTAACACTGTAAACATCTGTTACAGGAGGAGTAACAAATACTGCACAATATCAGAACAGGCTAATGGTGTATGATCCTTCACAAGTAAGTTTATATATTACAAGTATTTATTTAAACACAAAGAATGCAAAGTATGTGAGTAAATGCACTATCAAGTGAGTAAAGCATCTCATTCCAAACAACAATAGCTTAGATGAGGATATAAAAGCGCAGCTCCTGCGCATTGGCAGATCCTGGCAGGCCTTAAGAGAGCCCTGTTTTCCCTGGCTCTTTAGTATGCAAGGAAGCAGCATACCAGGACAGTCTGGAAATAGGTGACCCATATGTGTCTTAATATCCACCATCCAGCCGTCTCGGTCCCTGCAATGCATGTTACTTGAGCGCTGAAGCTCGTGGTGAAGGAAGATACAGGAAGTTTATGCAAAACCTGTATTCCAGTCTGCCTTAGCACTGATGAGAGATGGGTATCCTTGATCCCTATGATCCTGCCATCGGTTAGTGCGGCATCCTTATTGTGAGGCAAATATCATGACCTTATTATCTATAAGCTAATAGTTGGAAATGTAAAGACTCCTGCTGGTATTAGCATCTTTCCCAGGCCAGCTCATTGGGATTTCCCAGCTGAGAAGCCTGAAGTTGAACCTTGGATTATTTAAGTGAGCCAAGTCAACCCCTGGGCCTCTTGCACTTAGAACTATTAATCATTTTTTTAAAGTGCCACAAATAATGTTAACAGGCTGAAAGCTGGTGAAACTAACGGTTCTCTGTATGCATAAACACCTATCACTTCATTTTCAGAGGCAGGTTCTAGTGGAATGTCAGATGCTAGGAACAAGTAACGTAAATAGTTGTCAGCTTCATGCTTTCAGAGGTATCTTGCAGGTTACTGATGGGCCTTGGATCTGATCTAGAAAGGTAGCTCTTAACATTATGAACTATGCATATGTGGTGGCACTTGAGATACCTATAAATAAGTAAACATACTTAAGAAACAACCCATCCAAGCAGAAGTTTTAAAAGTCAGTGTATTATCTGTCATAGGAATCTGCATTATAAGCCAGATCACACTATTTGTCCATCTCAACTGCCCCAAACACATTTTAGGAAGGCTGTAATTCTTAAAACACAAAAGCCACAGTCCAACTCAGACTTACGTGTTCTGATGCCCGTTGAGATCAGTGGGGTTATGTACACTTAGCTATGTTTTGGAATGCAGCCAAGTGTATATTATTGCAACTTTCTGAGGAACCTTTAGACCAGATTCTTAATCATTCAGTTAATACAGTGGTACCTCGCAAGACGAATGCCTCGCAAGACAAAAAACTCGCTAGACGAAAGGGTTTTTTGAGCTGCTTCGCAAGACGATTTTCCCTATGGGCTTGCTTTGCAAGACGGAAACGTCTTGCAAGTTTGTTTCCTTTTTCTTAACACCGTTAATACAGTTGCGACTTGACTTCGAGGAGCAACTCATAGAACGCGGTGTGGTAGCCTTTTTTGAGGTTTTTGAAGACTTTGGTGATTTTTGAAGCTTTTCCAAAACTTTCCTGACACCGTGCTTCACAAGACGAAAAAAATCGCAAGACGACAAAACTCGCGGAATAAATTAATTTCGTCTTGCAAGGCACCAATGTATTCTTCTCCTAATGAAATAAAAACCAGTTAAAAGAACCTAACAACACATAACAGGTAAAGGCAGTTCTGTATCTTGTTCTTCTCCTTGTGTCATGGTTGGAACAGTGTTCTGAAATCTTGAACTCCCATGTGCTACCAGCCTCCCTGTAGTCCAGCAGCTGGGGACACCAGGTTAGGGAAGAATGGGTGGAAATACAGGGCTTCAGAGACCTGGGTTCAAAAGCCCATTCAGCCACATGCTCACTGGATGACCTTGGGCTGGTCACTTTATCTCAGCCTTGCCTACCTCAAACATGGCTGACAGGATAAAATAGAGTGGAGAGGAAAGAATGACCTACACTACCTTGAAGAAAGGCTGGATGCAAATGTAGTAAATGTTTGCTGAAAATAAATAGTATTTGGTGCAATTTGCCTTATAATATGACATTTGTGCACTTCCATTTCACATCGTTGGTGTTGGTGGAGAAACACAATGTGGCGCAAGTTCCACTAAATCAAAGCTTTCCAAACTGTCTCATGACATGTTAGTGTGTCGGCTGCAATGTGTAGTTGTGTTGTGTGAACACTCCCTGCGCTCCTCCCGGGGCCAGAAAGGGGTTAGTTTAACCTCTGGTTTTTGCTAATAAAACTGAATTACTGTGTTGCAAAATGATGCATGTCTAAAAGGTGTCACCGACATGAAAAGTTTGGAAAGCTCTGCACTAAAAGTTGAGAGAAGATGTTGAGAACAGACCCAGGAAGCTGCCTTATTCACCACCAGAAGCCATCTGCTTTGTATAATTTCTACTTCCAGCTTTAGACAGATTTCATGCATTCTTTAGTCCCATTTGCTGGCAAAATAGTGATTTGTGATTACAGAAAAGGGGCTTGATTTTAGCAGTGCATTGAGCCACCTTAAACCCCTTAGAAGTACCTGCATTTCTTGCACCAAAACCTAGCCCAGTTGACTTCTCTCTGTATGAAGCCTAGGATTTGTTTTGCATGCAAATGTTTGTCAACAGCAGTTTCAGCCTCGCGATGAACAAAATAACATCCTGCCTATTTATTTACATTTTCTAATGCTCCTGTTTTTTATGTGTATTATATTTTGTTGCCTTTGGGGGCTCAGAAGCTGTTTCCTCCCACTTTCTGGCCCTCTGCATACTTGGGTTCCTTTTAGGCCAGAGCCCCCAAACACAAACAGTTAATAGGTAGAAAGTGTGTGTTAGCATTCTTAGCAATGAGGTCGGCTTCGTGTTTTTACACACACGCTCTTTTTAAAAATTCTGCTGGCATATTGTATACGGTGGGCACTGGAAGAACCTCACATCTGCTTGCGCCTTGCACAGAATCTCAATACCTCTATAATTCGGTGCTAGTGCCTGTTTCTGCGCTAGGCCTTTGTGGAGTGCTGATAATGCCTACCATCTGCCACTGAGCACATAGCTACCTGCCAACAGGCAGGCTGGGGTGACCTCTGCTTCTCCACTGCTGATTAGTATTCACACGCTGGCTTATTAGGAATGACCCCACCAGGCCCCTCTGTTTCCTTGCCTTTGCAGTGCTTAGCAGCTTACCTGGCAGTCACTGCTGTGGAGGAAGCTAAGATATAATCAGGGGATGCAGGCAGGCTTTGCAAAGCAGATGGTGTCTATAGTTCTGTGTCAAGGGACTGGACTGCTAATGCAAATATTAATTCCTCCTGGCCAAATAATACACAATATAACGGATAGCTATACATTATGGGGGCTACATGGTGCAATTGTTTTACGATTTCCACTGTTTCATGCACACTACTCTCCATTCTTCTAATAATAAATTTGTTTCACCTCTTCTTTTACCAATTAAAATATCACTATTGTTTACCTAACCAGAGATACACATTAAGAAATAAAAGGGCACCAAGCAACTTTTCTGCCTGGGAAAACGTTTGGCTAAATTTTCATTCGTTTGGTTAATTTTAATAGCTTAGGCTATGAAAACTTAAGTTACTACTTAATTTTCAAACATTATTTTGATATGGCTATATGGGTAACTTCCCTTCCTTGACGTCCTAGTCTACAAAAAACCTGATGGCTCCCTAGGACACACTATCTACCGGAAAAAAACACACACCAACCGCTACTTACATGCACAATCACACCACCACCCTGCACAAATAAACTCCGTAGCCAAGACTCTCATCTCCAGAACCAAACGCCTGGCTGACAAAGACCACTTGACAACTGAGTTACAGAATCTCTCAAATGTGTTAATCGCCAATGGATACCAGCAAAACAGGGTTACGAAGCTAATCCAAAAAGAAACACCCCCCAAAAACCAAGACACAGAAGAAAACAATGGCATGGCCCTCCTTCCTTATATCAAGGGCACTACAGATAAAATTAGCAAAATCCTCCATAAACACAATATCAAAACAGCCTTTTGCACCAACCAAAAAATAGCCAATATCCTCAGAAACCCCAAGGATAAAATCCAGTTGGAAAACCAAGGGGTCTATGAAATACCCTGCAAAGTCTGCCCAGCCACGTACATTGGACAAACAAACAGACGAATAAATGCACGTATCGCAGAACACAAGAATGCCGTCAAAAAAGAAGAAAAAACTTCCTCTCTTTTCCAACACATGAAAGAAACAGGACACGAAATTAATTTTGCAGATTCCAAATTGCTCTTTAACATGGAACATCACCACAAGAGAATAATCATGGAAGCCATCGAGATAGAGAAACACCCTCACAACATGAACAAGCGTGACGACACATCCCGCCTGCCAGACATCTGGAAATTAGCCCTCCCCACTAAAACCGACACCAGATCCAGAGGCACACAGAACGCCATCACCAATCAACCACACCAGACCCAAACCCAGACCCTCTCCACAGATAAATTACAGACACCATCCAGCAGCCAAACCATGGTGGCACCTCCGGATGCTGCACCCCCCTGCAATCCCTACACAGATCTGGCTGGCACAGGCCACAAAACCACAGCTCGCCCCTATACACGAAGCCAAGCCAGAGCACAACTAAGTGCAGTACAGCCATCTTCTCAGAAAAACTCTTCACAAAGTTCAAGAGGTCAAGACACGAAGGCTTTAGCAACTAATCCACACCTAATGACCCACCTAAGTGGTACTCAGGATATCACTCAAGAAATCACTCAAGATATCCCTCAAGTAATTAAGGAACAAAAGAAGAAAAGGCACACTAGCCTGGGAACTTCCTCTCTGCCCAGAACATTGGAGGCTATACACCACACCTCCTCAACAGTATTTATAGGAACTCAAACACTGAGATCCTGCTCTGTTCCAGTAACAAGAAGCCGAAAGCACCAGCCTGAAGATGACGAGTGAGACCTCGTCGAAACGTCGCCTAGACACCCCAACTTTTACACGGGAAGACACCCGAGGACACCAAACCCTGCATGGGTAACATTTATTGCAAGCCACCTTGAACCTAGTAAGAAAGACGATTTTTCCCCCCTATAGAAATTAATGTGAACCAGTTCTCTTATGTTTATATTTACAGAATAAATGGCTTAGCCGCAGCCCCATGTTGCAGAGAAGAGTCTACCATTCAATGGCAGCTGTGCAAAGGAAGCTGTATGTTTTAGGAGGCAATGACCTGGATTATAACAATGACAGGATTCTTGTCCGCCACATAGATTCCTACAATATAGACACTGACCAGTGGACACGCTGCAACTTCAGTCTGCTGACAGGCAAGTATTTTGTTTGTATATTTTAGTAGAGCAAAGTTTCAAGTCAAATTCTTCCCTCCTCCCTCACTTTTAAATTCAGTTAGTTTGCACTGTTTGAGCTTTGGATTTTGCTGATTTGCAAGGGAAGCAAAACACAATCAGCTTCATGCAAGTTGTGGCATTGAAGCAATAGACCAACGGGAGCCCAGTGCTGGATACTCTGTGATACAAGAGGAAATATCTGGATTCCTTTCCCTACTTCATATAATTAAATGTGCGGAGTGCTGAAAACACTACTTCTCCTCATCCCAGACATACACCACTTTTGCCTTGTCAGGCCAGCCCCGTCATGTAGGGCAACTTATTTCGAAGCTCTTCTTTTTATTGGGTGGGGCTGCAAAAGTTGTTGCAGGCCTGCTCTACTTCAATCTTTCTCCTTCTATCCTATGACCAGTACCTGCTACTGTTGTCTTTTGCTCATAGGTGGCTTATTATTGCTAATCAACTGCAAAGACAGAAGATGGGGAGTTGTTAAAACAAGTTCAGGTGCCCTTTATCCTGCTCTAAAAGTGATCAGTGCTATCACAACCAGTAAAGACCACTTGATTCTGACTGTGGTGTATACCAGTGCAAGAACACAGCTTGTACATCAGCTGTTGATTGTGAGATAACCCATTCCCCTCAAAATAGCAATTATTTGGTGCATGGTGGGAATAGAAACACTGAAGAGTGCTGTACATCTTTTTAAAATATACTTAAATAGAAATGCTTGGGCAAATGTGTGCAGTAGCAGGAGAAATTTACAATAAGTAGAACTTACAACTTGCATGGGTGTGTTGTACTATTTTAGAGTCTTCAAAAACATTGGAAATGTACCAATAAGCTTGTCTGTTGACTCTGTTTTAAGAGATTATAGCAATGTTTCCATGTAAACAGCTGGCTAGCTGAATCTATGTGCAGCATCCCACAGTATAGAAGTTGTGTGTGTGTGTGTGTGTGTGTGTGTGTGTGTGTGTGTGTGGAGATTAACAAACACATATGGTTTTGTTTTTCTGCTTCAGGCCAAAATGAATCGGGAGTTGCTGTTCACAATGGCAGAATATACTTAGTTGGTGGCTACTCATTTTGGACAAATGAACCCTCCGCATGTATCCAGGTCAGTGGTTTAGTCTCCTTCTTTCGAGTCTCTCCCAGTGGTATTGCAAGGTTACCTTTTCCAGAATTGTTCACACTGGGATATCTTTTTGGTGAAACAGACCTATGCAAATGATTTAAACTACTAAGAAAAGAGGAAAAGCAACTTGTTTAAACTGTTAGGATCATAAGTTGGCAACAACACTTACTTTTAAAAAGCTCATCGGGGTAAAGGTAAAAAGTGCTTGCTTGTTCAGCAGTCTTCATAGTAGTACAGCCACATACATTTATTTTCCACTGCTACCATTTAACTCTTGCTTTTAATAAGTATGCTTAAGCAGAAATAGTAGAGCACCAACAGAGTTGACATGTGCATGTGTGCTGATTCCCAATGAAAACTTTGGTAGGAATCCTGGTCTTTAACATCAATTCACATTGTTTTAAGAATGTATGTTTAGGCGATTTACAAAAATTGCATGCCTTTAGAGTGTGCCAAGTATTGATCTTTCCTTAAAACAAATCCTCAAAGCTGTGTCTCCAACAAGAAATGTGCTTTACACTGATCATTTTTAAAAAGTTTTCATTGATTTTGAGAGGAAGTATTTAGACACAATCTTTTCTACTACATACATGAAAGGAAGCCATTCGTAATAACTAAAATACATCGAAATAAGAAAAAAAAAAGGATGCAAATATTTAATTGCCATTCTTCTATGTACTGTAGTATGCAAGTATTGGAGGAGATCAGCATTTAATATGAAGTGGGGTGTTGTACAAGTGTTTGCTACAATACATGTAAGACTTATTGCTGTTACTGAGCCTGGCGCCTGCATAGTTAGATCACAGCTTTTGACTTGCTTACTGTGGTCATTTTTCTTACTGCAAATCATTTTAAATTTGAGAGCATCGAAAAGTGACACTCTTAGTCCTCACTTGTAGTCTGAAGCAGTACGTCACTCTGCTGAATGTGTAGACCAGCTCTGTGCCATAGAGCATGGCAACAGTTCAGGCATGCTGGGGTCAACTTGTTTGCAACAGGTGCACAGTGCTCAAATTCTGGGTATTTTGTTTTCAGGGATGGCTGGCACATAACTTTGATTATATAGAATAGGTAGATCATTGGAACAGCAATACATATAGCTGCCTTTGGTTCATGATAAATGTTTAAGCTTTTACCCACCTTGTTTTTGGCTCTTACTAGGTGCTGGATGTTAGTAAGGAAGGAAAAGAAGAGGTTTTCTATGGGCCCACCTTGCCTTTTCCTTCTAATGGGATAGCTGCCTGCTTCCTTCCGGCACCCTACTCAACATGCCCCAACCTGCAGCCTTTGCAAGTGCCTCATCACAAGATAGGCACTATGTGAGAAAAGGAGCGTGGCTGACGAGAGAGGAAGCTGCTTCATCCATCCTGATTTCATCTTCGAATCAACCAAAAGGGGAAGAATTGTTCTGAAATTCTTTATTGTATTAAATGCAGTAGAAGCCAAAAAGAACACTAATGAAAGGGGGCCAGAATTGCACCTAGACCCTCCTACCTTCAAGCAGGGCTTGGGCATCTTTGCTCACTAAGTATTTCTAGGAACATTTTATGCAGTTGATTTGGCTTCACACTTATAAGGATCTGCCAGGATTACTGACTTCCCAAAGTGCTTTGCAAAAGAGAGTGTGATACGTCGATGAGGAAACATAATACTATATATGCAATTTAATATATTTGGCAAAAAAGGGATCCTTGATTTAGTTCCATAGGTTGTTGCTTCTAGCGCTAGGTACTGTCAAAGACGTGCAAAAAATGAATTTCCACTTAAACATAGAAATTCTCAAAATGTGGGCTACGATGGCAATGAGTTTGGACTTCATTAAAAAAAGGCTGGAAAAGGACTTATCTGAGTACTTGCTCTTGATCTTAGAAAAACCTTGAAGTTGTAACTGCTGTGCATTCCAACATTTCTCAACTGCAGGTGTAAGGAGCTCTGTTAGCCTCTGAAGAACCAGATGTTTCTTATGACTGCCTCATGGAGGTGAGGGTTAAAGGCTGGACTAAAAGCAATGTAGTTATTAAAAGTTTATGCTGGAGAAAAGGCAGCTAGGTGGTGCTATCAACAGAACAAAAGTGTCATGTAGAACGGAGGTGTGAGACAGGCACATTAAAGGTTGTTGTAACGCCTTGCTGTAGTGTTCCCTATAGAATTAGACCTTGAATTGCAACTTAGACATAGTGAAGTTTGTTCGTTAAGCTTGAGTTTGTACGTCTTTGTATCCAAAGTGGTTTTAGAAACTACAGAACTATTTAGTAGAAACTTTTAGGAAAGCTGTCCCCACCCCATCCTGCTTAATTCCAATATCTTCATTTGGCAAAAGCTGCAAGGAGAATAACTCTTGTCTAGAGACCATTCTGAAATTTATCTTTGCCTATTTTAAGTTTGCCCTAAAGAGCAATTTAAAGTGACTGATTGAGCATCTGGCTCTGGGCAATTTTGCACTGCTCTATACTAGCCTTCCCAATTTTTAGCACTTACAGTTAACAAAAAAGGCAAGAGGGATTTAACAACTAAAAATGTATAAGTAAGAGAACATGGGAAACAGTATTTTCATTCACATTAACTTGAGGATCCTGTTGCTGGGGAAAGGTAGTAGCAACCAGCTTGAATGTTGCAAGGCAAAGAGGTGGCATTAAGATATGCTATGCACTGCCCCCTCCCCCAATACAGTTTTGGAAGGGCAACTGTTACAAGAGTTTGCACTTAGAAAGGAGGGATATACAGTGGTGCCTCGCAAGACGAAATTAATCCGTTCCGCGAGTCTCTTCGTCTTGCGGTTTTTCGTCTTGCGAAGCACGACTATTAGCGGCTTAGCGGCTATTAACGGCTTAGCGGCTTAAAGAAAAAGGAAACAAACTCGCAAGAACTCGCAAGACGTTTCGTCTTGTGAAGCAAGCCCATAGGGAAATTTGTCTTGCGGAACGACTCAAAAAACGGAAAACCCTTTCGTCTAGCGAGTTTTTCGTCTTGCGAGGCATTCGTCTTGCGGGGCACCACTGTTTTCTTTACTTACTGTGGTAGTGGGCAGTTTCAATAAAATTAGTCACACATTTTATGTATAGTTGGGAGCACTGGAAATTGTATTGTTAGGAAACCTAAATATTGTGCTTTTTTATTTTGGACTGGAGGAGCCTATTTTGCAGTCTGCATTACTTCCTCACAGTTGTCTTAACTAACAGGTAGTCAGGTCAGAGAATGCTTTGGAGCCAGTGGATTTTTCGAGTGCTAAATATCAACACATGGCTCCCAAAATTATACAGAACCTTGTTTGGAAACAATACATCTCCATTGTCTAGCAGGAGTTGCCTTATGCTGTGTCAGCCTATTGCTCCATCTAACTTCCGCTGTCTGCTCTTGACTGACAGCAGCTTACTATGGTCTCATGCAGCTGTCATTTTATGACATGTGTTACCTGTTCCTTTCAAGTGGGGATACCAGGCATTGAACCGGGGGCCTTCTTCCTACAAGTATATGCTCTATCACAGAGCCAGGGTCCCTAAGTCTTGGCTTCCTGTCCAAGGAACAATCGTGACTATGAATACCTGATAGTAACGAACTAGAACACAGGCCCTAAGGGAGAGAGCCAGTCACGACGGTGAACGCAATGGGCTCCCCTTTCTCTCCCTGACTTTTGCGCCAAATGACATGTCAGTTGAACAAGTGGGGGTGATATAACTGGGTTTCAGTTTTATCCATGCAGGCCATTCTTAACAACAGCTCCAAGTTTAGTTTTATTAATGTGCAATATCTTCATATTTTTGAAAACCTTGAAAATAAAATTGGTCAACTCACAGTTACAAGGGGAACCATTTTGTTTGTCTGCTGTGTGAATTCACAAACTAAGTTCAAGAAACTGCCAGCTGCATAGGTAAAAGTTAATACCAGAAAACATTCATACAAATGTGCCTCCATTCTATATTACAGGCATATGTACAGTTTACAATAAAACTTTATTGTCTGACTACTGTATCATCTCTGCCTCGCAATATTTTTACATTTGAAAACTATTATGTGCATGCTAACTACTCCTAAGACCTGTACCACACATAAAGGTGTTGCAAGAGACAATCTGTTGCACACAAACACTTGACCTGATGAAACCACCCTTGCAAGGATGCAATTTCTACAGTGCTTATAGATAAGCACTAGAAATGGGTGGAGGGGACTCGTTACCTATCTCCTGCTCTGTTTAAGAGGTTTTGGAAGACCCTCTAGAATAGTGAGGGAGATAGCTTTGGAGGCTACAGGAAGACGAACAGAATCAGCAAAAGTTCTTCCTCACCACTACCAATGGATCCCTCCACTGTGGAGAACAGGTGACATCAAGTCATGGCACATTTTGCATAGGATGAGTAATGCACACCACAGATAATTTCTAACCATAAACTCTTATCAGTTAAAATATTTCTTACTAGGATGCTAAGACTATATCAATCTTAAGTGCTAAAAAACATTCATATCTGTTAACTACAGTGACAGTTGGAGATATGAATTCACATTTGGCATACCAAAGCACAAATGTTCATTAAAAAATTCAGCTCTAGAAAATCTACTCGATGCAAATTCATTTCTCCCAAAGTATGTTTTGAACAATAAATTGTTTCTGGGTCTCTGACCGGCCTGTTCAGCTAGATCCAAGTTGTAGGAATTGCAGTACAGTATTCCCAAAACAAATATGCAACTAGTCTGTCTGGTTCCTCTTGAGTTTTGAAAGAAACGGCTCACCATTTTCATGATATTCCACTATATTAAGCAACCTGCCTATAATTGGTTTGCAAGAGCCACTTACCGTGTTGCAATCTCAGGCACAGGATGTTCAGCTTCACATCTTTAAACGTGGCAACTTGCTATGCTTTGCAAGGTTTGACTTTCCAATTTGTGCTTTTCTAATGGTGAGGAAGATACACCTGCCATTCATTCAATGGTACTTCTAGTGTGGAAAGAAAGGAACAACTATACAGATTTGTAAACCATGCTTGTTGCAGAGGTATGCATTATCCATTGTTCTGGCATCCAATGTGCCTTGCACAACAGACATTAAGACATAAAAAATGCTCTCTTGGTATTAGAAAAAACTCTTAAGTGTGAATGCATTTGGAGGACTGCCAATTAGATTTCAATTTGGAAAGGGAGCATTTCAGCAGGTCTGTTTATGACACTACATAGCGACTAGTGCTTGCAATGTCAGATAAAGCAAATTTCAACAACCAAGTTTTTTTTTGTTTTTACCGAGCCTACCTATAACTTTAATTCCAGTAAATTAATGAACTTGGGAAATCTGCATGCAAGTCCCACTGAGCACAACTGAGCACAACTGGATGAACATAGTTGAAGACTATGTTATGTCATATCATCTACATGTTATGTCATATCATCTATGCATTGCTTACATGATTGTGAACCACAACATAATAGCAAGCCATGTGACCAAGACATTTCCCACTGTTGCTCGTATTAATAAAATGTACGCACAGCAGTAGCCACCTCACTAAGAAGTCTATAGATAAAGCAAAGATGGGGAACCTCGGGACTTTGGGCCAAAACGTGGCCTGTGGAGCAGGTGTGAGGGGTCCTGATCTGATCAGAAACCTTCCCAGCAGGCCCACCCATACGACAAGAACCTCTTCTACCATCAAAGAAATAACTTGGTTCTCACACTAAAGGGGAAAATAAAATGTCTATTCTGGCTAGAGAATTCCCATTTTTAGTATGTGATAAACACTATGAAGCAGAAGGAAAGAAAAATTACAACATTTATGGACTGAATAGGAAGAAGCAGATAAATTATTTGAAGACATCAATTTGAGCTAGGTTGAACATCTGAACTCAGCTAAAATGGCCGACTAAGAAGGGTCTGGGAACAATAGTAACAGTTTCTCAAAGAAAACATATTGAAATAAGCCAATGTGCATTTCTGGACAGCCAGAAGCAGACCTATTCACTACCATAAGAGGTGGAGTGGGGAGGAGAGAAGCAAAGGTTGCTAACTTGCCAGAATATCATAAGACACCAAAGGAGTAGGTGCTTCAACAAACATTTGCAAACTGCCCACTGATCACCAGGGTGTTGTATATGGCATTAGAAAAGTAAGATTCCATCAGCAAATTCATACAAACGTCGTAAAATGCTCTTAGTATATTGATCTGATGAACAGATTGAGTGTCTGAAGCTGTTTTTTTTATAAAAGCAAATCTGATTCCTAACCATTTTCATGCCTGTCTCAGTTAATATTTGGAATACTTCTGTCTCCAGACATGAAATGAAATGAAGAAATGAAGAAACTGAGCACAATAGCATTACCTATTTTCTTGACAAACTGGTCCATTTAGATGTATCCATTTAGTGTATCTATGATAACTTGCCAGGAAAACTATACCAAATACTATTTAGATTTATTTTTTTTAAAAAAAAACATGCTTTCTTCTATCATAAAAGGTATCTTTTACACCCCCTGGATCTTAGAAGCTTTTGTGACAAGGAAGAGGCTTCATCACTTAATTTGAAATGAAACTCTCTTGTAATTTAAAACACATCTTCATCTTCCCAACAATAAAAAAATGGGAAATTTTACAAAGTGGATGTACATATAATTGTGAATGATGGCAATTAGTATGAAATTTTGCAACAATGACCCCCCTCTTTTTACAGTATCATGGACAATCATTTGATGCTTAAGAAACTAAGCAATTCGGGGGCGGGGGGAGAAGGTGGTGCATGTGCTAGACTTTTTTTCTTTCTCTATAATAAAGTGAAAATGTAACGGAGGCACTCAGATTATTTCAAGTTTACAAGAGGAGCCTGGATTAAAAGAGCATTGAAACATAAAGCACTGTAGAAAAG